CAGGTGTGGGTGCTTCACCTTTCCCACCCACATTTTGATGTTGTCGGCACCGGGAGTTGGACCAGCGATCTTCCGATCACAGGCCCACCTTCTCTAACCTCTGTGCCACCATTCAGCCACTCACCACACTTAAATACTGTAATCTCAGGACTATAGAGCACAACTGACTATAAGCCACGCACACTTTAAAAAAAATTACATATAAAAAAAATTACATATATATAAGCCATGTGTTCACTTTTTAACGAGTGGCAGCACACAGCTACTGAGAGAGATGTGCAGCTCTTGTAGATCAAGAATCAACCACCAGATGGTATTTTATAGACTTTGTCTGGCTTCAACACACACAGACAGAGATGAAACCCACAGGTCTTCTTGACAACTACCTCCCTCACTCATGGTTACTGTACTGAATGGCCTAACACAAACTAACACATAAACTAGGCTAACAAGAACAGACTAATCACCAAAAGAACGATCCTAAACAGCTAACTGAAATTATTTAAAATGAACATAAATTTTACCCAGCACGGTGGTGCAGTTGGTAGAGCTCCTGCCTCTCCGTTAGCAGGTTACCCTGGTTCAAATTCTGGTCCGGGGACCTTTCTGGGTGGAGTTTGCATGTTTTCTCTGTGCATGTATGAGTTTTCTCCGGGTAATCTGCTTTCCTTCCACAGACCAAAATCGTTAGTTACGTACTGTAACCCCAGATTCTATGAGTATAGGCACAGACCTTTAAGGCTGTCGCCAACTGAAAACTTTAGTCCACGCTTACCTGCTGTGTGGGCCTCACCCCCAGTCCGTATAAATTACGGTGAGACCGGGTAATCAGCTCCCAAATAGCTTTTTTTCTTCAGCCATTTAGGAACCAGTGAGGCCCAGAGCTTAAATGGCTGCACCTATACTCAAAGAATCTGGGGTAACAGTACATAACTAACGTTCTATTTCGTATAGGCTTCGCCCTTTAAGGCTATCGCTATTGGGTTAAAGGCGAAGCAGGATGTAGTCTATGCCTCACTGGGTCCATTCAGACACATCATGAAGTACCTGCTTGCACAAAAAAACAATTTTATCACTCAGCCTTCTGTGTGCATATATACGCACTGCGTAATTGCATGCTCCTTGCATAGGAGCGCACCGGAGAAAAGATCTCTGGTGAGGAAAAAGGCTGAGATAGCAAACCTGCTGCTGTGAATTGTAACAGTGTAACGATGAACAGAGCAGACCAACAGCTCCTCAGGATGAACCGATTAATAACAATAAAATCAGCAGTCATGAACTTGTGACTGATAATAAATATCTCACACTGCGACTGCATGCAGGCAGGTGTGAGCTCAAACGTAAGGCTCCATGAAACAAATAATAATCATTCTGTCAGAACCCTGAGAACAGAATGGGTCATGGAGAAAGTGGAAACTATCACATAGATAAAAATGAATAATTGAACATGGCGATGACCAGGCAGCCGCCATACAAATATCTTCCACTGTCATCCCTCCATGCAGAGCCATGGAGGATGAAAACCTTCTGGCGGAATGCGCTGAGATTCTCTGGAGGATCCAGTCAAGATGAGCTGTAAACTTCAGAAATAGCCTCACACAACCAGTGTGAGAGGCGCTGGGTGGATAGAGGACATCCTGAAGAGCTGTCCCAGTAATGAACGAACATACGCTGAAAGTGGCGCAGTGCGGCCATGTGCGCCACATAACATGAAAATGCGCGCATGGGACAGAAGGAGGTGAGATGTTGCTTCTTCCTCAGAATTATGAGGAAGAGGATAAAAACCCATCCAAGGTTATCACTCTCAATCTGAATGAGCTTGTGATGCTTTTCAGAGCAGGATTAAAACGCAGTACAGCTGAACTGCCATCAGCTTGAATTCTGAGACATGTTGGAGCAACAGAGAGAGCAGATGATCACTCTCTTTGCTGACGTCGGAGCTAACAGCAGGGCTGTTTTAAATGACAGAAATTTAAGTAAAACCTGATCTAAAGGCTCAGAAGGAGCTATGATCAGAGCGTGCAGGACCATCATTAGGTCTCACTGTAGAGCTAGTGGATGTGACACCAGTCTGTGTCTCCGTACACCTTTCAGGAAACGCTTCATCAACGGGTTATTAAAAACTGTTCTGTCACCGAAGCCCTCGTGACAGGAAGAAATAGTTGCAGCATAAGTTTAAATTGTGATGAACGTTAGATCTCTGTCCATCAGCTGCTGCAGAAAGGACAGCATGCCACCTAGTGGACATGAGATGGCCTCTACACCTCTCTCCGTGCACCAGCGCTAAAAAGCTGTCCACTTTGATATAAGCGCATAAAGGAGCATTTTTGGCCACGGGCTGTGAGCGAAGGCATCCACTCCTAACGGTGGGTCGTCTTGTGGACTCAGTGAGAACCTTAAATGACACTGGGCGTTCTTCCATGTGGCGGACAGATCCACTGCTGCTCAGCTGAACCTGCTCCAAATCCGAGAGATCAGCTCTGGTTGGGGGCTTCAGTCTCTGTGGCGGGGACCGCCCCTCTACATGATATCCGCTCCCCTGATCAGGACGCTGGGAATGTACACTGCTCTGATGGAGAGCAGGTTTTTGTGTGCCCAACACAACAGCTGTTTCGTGATGCGTAACAGTTAAGCTGAGTGCATGCCTCCCTAACGGTTTATGTAAGCTGCCGTCACTTTGTTGTCTGTGTGGATCAGAACATGCTGATCCCACAGCAGGGGGGCAAAATCTTGAGTCACGTTTCAGACCGTGAAAACATTCTAGCACATTTATGTGAAGCGACATGTGGTACAGCCACTGTGCTCCCACTGCATGAAACAGACACATTCCTTCCAGCTTGACAGGAACATGTCCGTGAAAACTAAGATGTGTGACGTAGGCCTGCTGATGGCAACTCCCTCTGACAGAATGAGGGAGTTTCCCCAGTGATTCAGATCGGTTCTCACGGAGGGGGGCACATAGATAATCCACCTCTTCTGGCGCACAGAATCTATGCCTAGGCGGGCGAACCATCTCTGAAGGCGTCTCATGTGAAGCAGGTCCAGCGGAACCACAATGTGGGCCGCTGACATCGTCCCAGGCGTCGCATGACAGGCAGACTGTCACTATGCTGCAGGGTTTGACACGGTGGAGCTGAGCTGATAGAGCTTTGGCTCTCAGCTGTAATAAACGGGCTCTCATTCTAGTTGAGTTTAGCTCCACTTCCAGATAAACAATCATCTTGGACGGACGAACTGAACTTTTTCCCAGTTTATAGAAAACCCCAGGTTAAGCAGGTGTAACACTAGCGTTTTGGTCTGTGCGACTGCTTTCTAACTGGACCGAGCTAATAAGAGCAGGTCGTCCAGATAAAAAGAATTCTTATTCTTGCCATGTGTAATGACTGCAGAGCCGTCTCCACACGTTTTGAGAACGTGTATGTGGTGTTTCAGAATGATGGAAATGTGAAATTATGCGCTCTTCAGATCTATGGAGGTGAAATCCAGTCATTCTGGTGAAGTTCTCCAGCAGCTGTTTGTCAGCATGTGGAATAGTCTCCCCATGATTGAATTACTGAACATGAACAGGTCGAGAATGGGTCTCATCCCTCCGTTTTTTTATCAGAACCAGGAAATAGTGGGAGGAAAAAAACTTGTATTTTCCTCTCTGTTGGGAACCTTGGAAATCACGTTTTTTGTCAGAAATTCCTGAACTTCTGACTGGAGAGACGAGCTCTATTCTGGAGAAGACAGAACCGTCTCTATAATCCCTCTGAACAGTGGGGGTTGAGTTGCGAACTGCAGCGTGTGACCCCTGCTGATCAGGCGGTCCGTCCATCTGTCCATCGAACACACTCACTGCCACTCTGAGTAACGCTCGGAGAACAGGCACGCATTTTGTGTTGTGTCACGTTTCTCATGAACGTCAACCAGACTAAAAAGCCTTACTGCCATCACTCGCTCTGGAGATTCTCCGGGGGGAACCCAAAGGGGGTTCCGACAGAAAAAATGAACTGTATGTGTGCCTCTGTGCTGAGCCCAGGCTGCGGTCTCACATTAGAGCTGAGGTGAGCCGGTGCACACTGAGAGGAAGTGTGAGCGCTTTCTAAGTGAGACGCCATTTCGGTTGAGGCTGCAGCTGACGTGGAGAAACACGTTTACTCCTGCTGCGCTGTGAGTGGGCAGAAAAAAGCAAAAATTAAAAATGGGCTCTGGCTGAAAACTAGGGATTTTACAGGACTCGGCCTGCTGAAAAAACATCAGCTGACGTGGCAGCCGAGTGTTTTGTGATATTTACTGAACTGCGGCGCCATTTAAAACGCTGTTTAGAGGTGACTGGCTCATTCTGTGTGGGGAAAATGTGTGAAGAGAGGTTGAAGCTGATCTGACAGTCTCAGTTGAAAACTTTACTTTTAGAGGTGTTTCTGTTTTATATCAAAACATACATCATAAAAAAAATCATACTTTCCCCTCAAGGATCTGTTACCTGGTGGAGGGGGCCGGTGGAGGAGCAGAGCGTGAAGTCACTGCTGCAGCTGTGGAGCGCCTCTGCTGCTGTTGCTGGCCAAGGTGGTCCCTCCAGCGGCCAGAGGGACGGGAGGAGGACTGTGACGTCACCAGATGGTGTACAGTCTC